GGTGGCGTGACGGAGCAGGATGTTTGTGATTGAGTGAACGCACCGCCACACCGAGGTCTTACTCAGCCCATATCCATCCCCAAACAAATCCAGAAAACTCCCCACAGCATAAAAACGGAGAGCCGCCAGCAGTTGAATTTCGGGGCTTAGGGGGTAGCTCCGTCGAGTTTGTCTCGACAAAGTTGGACCAACAAGATGTAAAAGCTGCTGAATTTGTTCCCGTGGCAGGCAAATTTTTTGTAGAATTGTATCTTTTTGACATGGTAGTTATTCTGACACTATTATGAAATTATATTATGCACATACACAAACTGGCTCCGCGGACGCAGCCGTCTTTGATTTAGGACAACTATTAGTATAGCTAAGAGTGGTCCAGACTAACCTTACGAACGAATGACTTACAGAAGGTATACTTAACTAAGAACGTTTCGGGAAACACGTATTAACGTCAAGGTACAACTTAAGGTATGACTTACGGACGACGTAGCGTTAAGAAGGTTTCGGGAAATGCAGCCCTGCTCTGGATTAAATCATCTCTGCCGAAAAGCAAGAGTAATGAGCATGTGGCTGTAAACACACACATGGCCTTATCGCCTGGGAGTCCACTGCGCTGTAAAACTTAATGACTCATTTCCAAAATCTACGATGCCGCATACTTCAACATGTGCTGCCATCACATGGGAATGCAGTGTGTGGCTATAAAATCTAATGAGTCATTACAGCCTGCGCAAGATATTATGGATCCAGCTCAAGGTGAGGATAAAAGTGCTGAAAAGCCAGCCACAGGGAGCACTTCACAGTATGCTATGTACATTTATATTCCTGATACACACGTATAGTATAAATGCATGCTGATAAGTGAATCATATCTGTTTACAGAGCTGAAAATCATTTTAAGCCTTTCTGCAAAAAAAAAACTGTCTCATGTACATAGGGTTGTATACAGATAATGTAGCCTTTATTTTTCCTTTTTTAAAACAAGTCACTTAAGCTCAACAAGACTGCATTTATTAGATCCAAAATATAGTAAAGCTAAAATATTATGAAATAGCATTCAAATTTAAAATAAGTGTTTTCCATTTCAATATTTTTTTTAAACCGTTGAGCTGCTTAATATTTTCCTGGAAACAGTGATTTTTAGACTTTTTCTGCAGGACACTGTTATAATCAGAAAATTCAAAAGAACGACATTTATTTGAAATAGAAATATTTTGTAAAATTACTTTTGAAAGGCAGTGTATATTTGAATTAGAAGTATTGAGAATAATTATTTTTGCACATTACAGTAAGATACTGGGAATTAATAGACAATTAGAGTGTTTGTATGTGCTGAATTGTCATGAAAAGTATGTCAGCCCAAAGATTTCAGTAATATTTTAGATTTTTATTTTTGGTAAAATATTGCCCATTTTTAATTTACCTAGATAACACCATATACTCCACTACTGTGGATTCTGTAAAATCATACCCAATTTACTCAATTTGAGCTGGCACAAGCCTTGACAGTACATGAAAAGTAGTGGTCGACTGATATATCGCCAAGGCCAATTTTGCATTTTTCAAGTATCGGCATTGACCGACAAGTTTTTCTGTTTGGCTGATGTGTTCGAGGCAGGACTTTTATTTTGACAGCGCTGAGAACGGCAGGGCCTGCGCACACAGTGCTCACGTTCTCCCTCTTGATCGCTGTCGTCGTTTAACAGTTCTGTCTAATACAGATAGAAGTCTGTCTAATAATCAGATAGAACTGTTAAACAAAGAAATTAAAATGTATACAAAAAGTATTATAACGATTGCCTTTATATCATTATATTAATAGAAAGGCAAACGTTATAATACTTTCTCGTCTGCCATCAGCATTCAGCAAATACGCATTTATATCATTTAAACAAATCTTTGAATGACTAACAAACATTTAATTTCACGAACCTTGCAAACTTTAAACTCGTGATTTCAAACTTGCTGTGCTTTATCCGTTTGCCCACTGGCATATTCATGTAATTTTTACTGTGTGCTGTATGTAAAATGAGTGTTACCTTGGCTTTATTTGAAAAAATAGGATTAATAATGCATACAAACGTTCCAGAATACTGAGTGCCCTTTTGGTTACAGTGTTTACTTCCTTTTTAATTATATTTTTATTAAATATTTATTTATTTGTGAAAAATACTTTGTCATCTAAACAATAATTTGTTTAAGTTTATTTTACACATTTCTTTTTTAAAGGGGTGGTTCATTGCGATTTCACTTTTTTTTAACGTTAGTTAGTGTGTAATGTTGCTGTTTGAGCATAAACAATATCTGCAAAGTTACAAACTGAAAGATCAATGCAAACGGAGATATCGTCTTTTAAAATTCTGGCAGTTTAATGTCTACAAAAATGGCTGGTAGGGACTACAACAAGTTACTTCCCGGGTTCGTGACATCACAAACCCAGATAAACCCCGCCCTCGGGAAAAGGCAGCAAAGGGGGCGAGGCCTGCACTGCTTTAGAGAAGAGGAAGAGAAAACTAGAGGTGCACATAAAAATCTATTCATATATGAATCGCGATTCTGTCTTCTAACGATTCTAATGGATTCACAAGTTTCAAAATCAATGTTCTAAAGCAGCGGTTCTTAATACTGTTCCTCGCGTCCCCCTGCACACGCTCTGCATCTCTCTCTCTCTCTCTCTCTCAGTCTCATTCAGCTCAGCTCCAAAAATTAACTGTTACAATTATACACTTATTTTCACATAGCTATGAGAAGCGTTAAACATGGACACGCGTGCAGTTGCCATACTGTATTAAAGCTTTAATCAGGATAAAATCGTATATTAAAAGCTAACATAAGCAGTAGCATTTACAAATAACAGCGTATCTAAAAGTATGAGACAACAACAAACAAAAAACATAGGCCTACCATTAAAAGCCGTGCTTGCACAGGTTCTGCACGATCCTCTTCAATAATATCATCTGCTTCTCAATCGGGCTCAAACTGATAAACGATATTAACTACGCCTTTGTTTACAATACAACCGGAGCACATGCCGCTGAGGTGAGGGGCTGGACGTTTAGACGCGCACTAGAGGCGGTTTAGCCAATCACAACACACTGGGCTAGCTAACCAATTAGAGCCTATTTGTGAGGGAGGGGCTTCATAAAAGAAGGAAATGATCAGCGTGTTTCTCAGAGAAGGGACAGAGCGGTGTGGAATAAAGGTAAATTATGTGGAAAATAATGTGTTTTTTTAAAAAAACGAAGCATTAACACATGTTAGACTGCACCACATAAACACAATCAAGCCTATAAAAAACCCACTGAACCACCCCTTTTAACACATTTTCAAATTATTTAAATTTCTTAAATATTAATTAAAATAAATAAAATTACATCAGCTTTATATCGGCCATCCTGCTTTCCAAGATAACGGCATCGGCTGTCAAAAAAACTAAATCAGTCGACCACTAATGAAAATACAGGCAGTAACCACCTCAGGTAACCTAGAAGCACCTCCTTACCCTCTTTTTAGATCTGCTTCTGGGCAGCATGTAGATGTCTTCCATCTCCTTCTGCTTCTGCTCTTCCTCCACCTTCCGCCGCTGCTCCTCTGGAATTATGTCATCCCAGTCGCGTATAGGCTTCTCCTCAAGATTTGGTGTGCTTTCATCCATGGTGAAGTTAGCAACCTATCAAAAGGAAAACACACAGTTCATGCTGGGCCAAGGCTCAGGAGAAAATATGCTACTTAACATTAAAAGTTTTAATAGAATCTTGAGTACCTTAAACTGTGACAGAAGCTCATCTGTAGCACTAGATCCTTGATCGCTCTCTCTGGTTTCAGCAAGCCGCAAGATCTCATCAATGTCCATTTCCTGTGGTTCTGATTCCTCCCCCTCAGGTTCCTTAAAAAGATCCTCTGCTCCAAACTTCAAGATTGCTGTCAATTCTTCTTTACTGAAGGGGTTTGAACTGGAGATGGCCAACACACAGGCATACATTATGTGTTATACGTTTAATACATGCTTAAAACAACATTCTGATTAGAGAAATTTTATTTTTTTCTACTTAATATTCAAGGTTCTCACTTTGAATTTGCGGAGCTGTTATCCAGTACGGTTCGCCCAGTGGTGTCCATCCTCTGAATCACAAGATGGTCTAGTACCATCTTCTTTTTGGCTCTTTCAATAATGTCTTCCTCCACTGTGCCTTTTGTGACCAGACGATAGATATTCACCTATGCAAAGAACCCCAAAATATATTTAATTGCAGTCTACGTATGCTACTTATGACACTATCTCATACTCCTCCAGAAGTATGTGCCGTTACACATTAGGTCAAAGATTCGTGCTCTACTTACTTGCTTTTTCTGGCCAATCCTGTGGGCTCTGGCCTGGGCTTGAAGATCATTTTGTGGATTCCAGTCCGAGTCAAAGATAACCACTGTGTCGGCAGAGGCCAGGTTAATCCCAAGCCCTCCAGCTCGGGTGGACAGCAGGAAACAGAAGTCCTGTTAAAGACCGTGGACAGTGAGAACAAGAGCCAACTGCATTGTGATGAATGCTTAAATCTATTTATCCCATTCCAGGTTAATATGCATAAAAACTGGATAATAGCCTATGCAATGGTATAAATCAGTTTGTCTGAGCAACAGCAGGCAGGTGGAGTGATTGTTAGGAAACCATCATTTTGCTTTGCGGTTTTGCATTATTTTTGGTGACATTAGTGGCACAGAAGTTATATTACCACTTATCAAAAGTCAATATTATATGAATTATCAATTAGCCTTTTGGAACCTAAAGGCAGTGCTTAAAACAAATGTACTGTATACAGTAGGGCTGCACGATATATCGAAATTATCGAAATATCGCAAATGTAAATATCGCAATATGCATATCGCAAGGGGCGAGCGATATCTGAATCATTTTAATAATAGGCTACTTAAATCAAAAGTCAAAAAGGTCAAAGTTTTAGTTCGACGCATATAGCAGAGAATTGCTTGACGTTAAAAAGAGTTAAGTGCAATAAGTTGCAGAAAACAACTCTTTGCCATCTCATCTTGCTGTCAGACTCACTGTGCGTTCACACCGCCGCCGTCGAGAGCGTCAAAGTGGCCAGAAGTCATTCATTTTCAATGTGAGCCGGCGTCGAGCAGCAGCGAGCAGCGGCGCGGCGCGACTTGGACGTTGAGGGCGTCGAGGAGAGTTGAAATCAGGTCAACTTTATGGTAATGAGCTATGACGCGGTTC